CCTCCTGGTCCTCCCCCCCCCCACTGTTTCCTTGCAGAGAAGCGAAGGCGCCTCGCTCGCCTCTTGGCGGCCTCGCTTTGGAAAGGGGGGGTGGAGGACACGGGGGGAACCGGCAGGATGGAGGGGTGCTTCCCTCCTCCTGCTGCTTCCTCCTCTGCCTCCCTCCCCCCCCCCGCGAGTATCGCGGGTCCCCCCTTGTATATATATATATATATGTGTTTTTTTATATTTAATAATGTATTATATGTTACGATGTCATGATCTGTTTTGTGATCCGCCCTGAGCCCGCTTGCGGGGAGGGCAGAATATAAATTGAAACAAGCAAATAAATAAGTGAATTGGGAGGCATTTGAGCCGAGGGATGGAACGGGCGCAGGCTAAGCGCTCCTGGTTGCTTAAGCTATTGTAAGCATTACATTTGCGCTGGTCGTAACCTGGATGCGGGCTTATCAGTCACAAGGACTCTTGAAAAATCTGCAAGGTGAGGGGAATGGAGGGCAGCAGCAGTGAGTGAGGGAAATGACACAAGAACACCTGTGCAGGTGCCAGGGAGAGCAACCCTGTGAGGTAGATTAGGCTGAGAGACTGTGACTGGCTCAAAGTCACTCAGCGAGCTTCGATGGCCTGAGTGGGGATTTAAACTTTTGTCTCCCAGATACCAGTCTAACACCCTTAGCCACCCTTAGCCACTGTACCACACTTTCTATATCATGGCAGTTCTTTTCAGAGATGTTCTGTGGGCTTGGACTGGAGTAATTCACGACATAATTATGCTATATGAGTTGAAATAGTTGAAATAGTTGAGAAATTCTACTTTTTCTACATACATACATACATACATAATTATGCTATATGAGTTGAAATAGTTGAAATAGTTGAGAAATTCTACTTTTTCTACATACATACATACATACATATATATGCTATATGTATATATATATATAAAATTATTAGTGCTATTTATACTACGAAATATATGAACCTGGAAGAAACACATCTAAACAGTTCCTTGTTTCGAAACAGGATTCTCCAGTTCTTCACAAATACCTTGTAGTCACAACTGCTTCGTGCAAACTGGGATATTTCAAGGAACAGTTCTGGTTATTCTAAAAACTCAGTTTCGTCTTTATTAGGTTATGATTTTCCCCCTCCTTGACATTCCTGAGGTTATTTATAGGTATACCTTACAATTGCTACCTGTATAACGAGGGGGCAGATCCTCAGAAAATATAAAACCATAAAAGTGCCTTTAAGACAATTGATCAAAAATAACCCCTGAGAATCAAGAATTAGGTATGTAAGAAAAATGCAAAGAAAATCGGAAAATGTAAAGAGAATCATAAATGGGAGTCTAATATAAGTTTTATTTAGTGGACAAACTAGGCTGTAGTCCATGAACATTTACAAGGGAATCTTTTAAAAAAGTGTTAATCTTTAAGAGATGCCACAAGACTCAAGTTTGTTTGTTTGTTGAAAGGGAAGCTTTATTCCAGAATGCATTTGTTCACTGTTTGCTAAATCTTTGACACCTAGGCATTTCCTTAGTCTCAGTTGGCAAACAGAGGGAAAAGAGAGCCACAACCAAACTAAGACACAGGGATGCAGTGGCCACAAAATTCCCTGACTTTTGTCTGGCCTCCTTATATATGCAAATTCCTCTCTTCCTTTCCCCCTCCCCCCTGCAGGCCAATCATAGGATTAACTAAAAGGTTTGCAAGAGGAAACACACACACACACACATACTCCATCCAGGAGCTTAGCCTGAAAAGGTTGTTGTTGTTTTTGTCCCCGGGGCGTTTCAATGCAGGAGCTGGAGAAGTCACTGGCCAGCTGGAACCGTAGCCTGCAAGACCTTGGCACCATGAAGGCCGATCTGGCTCACTGTCTCCTCGCCGAAGACGTGATGGTCCTCCGGGAGCAAGTCCAGCATTTGCACCGGCAGTGGGAAGAGCTCTGCCTCCGCGTAAGTGACTTACGGGGCAGGCTGCGGGTTCCTTGGCCGGGTTTCAATACACCGGTGCCGAAAGGGGGAGAGAATATCTTGCAAGGCCCTTCAGTTTCACACAAAGGAGTTAGCCGGACGATCCTGAAAGTTTAAAACACTGTCTGCAAGCGTAATTTGTTGTGGCTAAGCAACAGTGGGGGGGGGGACATCTGCCCTCTCCTTCTCCTTTTGTTCCGCTAATGTGCCCTAGTAGTTTTGAAAACTTTCAGGGATAGCAGGAAATATGTAAATGGGGTCAAACCAGTGATTTTTTAAAAGAAAAGGCTTTGGATGCCTTTGTTTAAAATTTAAAGAAGCAACAGAGGGCTTTAGAAGGGTGAAACAGAAATGGCCT